TGTCACGCCATTTTTACGCCATTTTCACGTCGTCTTTGACGTCGCGTCGTCTTTGCTAAACCTCGCTATTATAAATGAATGGTGTACTATTTAAAACTTGAGCAGCAGTGTTTTATCAGATCTAAAGACACAAGGCAAAGCCTCGTATCTTTAGATCTGATAAAACACGCACAGCGAATGTTTTAAATTGCTTCAAAAACGATCGATCTAGTAAGTCCATTGGCGAAGTAATTTTCAAAACATACGTTGTGCAAGTCGTGAAAATCAAAGTTAAAGTTTATGTATATCAAGGTAAATTTCGGGATATCAAGGGATACGACCAGCTTATCAGTTTTTCTTTGCGTCTTCCATGTGCATTATTAATGAGATTTTGAAGAATATAATTTATTAAATCATGCAATATTGAAGCGTATAGTCTTCTTCCAAATATATATATATATATATATATATATATATATATATATATATATATATATATATATATATATATATATATATATATTCATTAAAGGGGCGGATCTAGGATTTTTCGCACGTTGCACGATGACGTCATCGATGACGTAAAAGTGATGACGTCGTTTGACGTCAGGATGATAATCGAATTTTCGTGGGAGTATAGATGTTTTTATTTTATCAAACTGTAGCTGCTTAAATAGCATACTTTTCGCAATTGACAATGTTAAGGATATCGACAGATAGACTGTTACGCCCTACTGTATATGAGGGCTCATCAGCATGCCTACGAAACACATTTACCAAAAATAGTAAACTGTGATCTGCTCATCCGACATGGACAGACAGCCCCTTGAAAAGGTTGAACACAAGCACAATTGCACAAGCAGTCTGGATTTAAGGTGCCAGAAAACCACCTTCACACCATTTGCAAAGGCAAAAGGAGTTTGGTTAGAAATGAGTGACAATATGAGACATTTCATGGATGTGACATTGCTCAGTTTTACACACCATCCCAAGTAAATTTTAACCCTTTATCCCCCACCTACAATGAGCAGTCTGGTTTTAAGGTGCCAGAAACCCGCTTTTATATATTTTTCCACAGCACTGAAACCTACTGTAGTTTGGTTAGAAATGCGTGAAAATATGGGACATTTCATGGATGCAAAATTGAGCATCTGTTTTTACCCTATTACTAACCTATGTCTTAAGCTAATCCCCGAGCCGACGGCGCGAAGCGCCGTGCGAGGGTACTAATTCCCCCCGGCTATTTACACCCGTGGGAACGAAAGCATTAGCGAAGTCTAAAGTTCATCAATCATCGCGGGCGCTAACCAACGAACGACGATCTTGAGTGGGTGGTCATCCTTATCTCAAAAATATGGCAAGAAAGATTTCAATTTTAAAAGACATGCATATATTTGGAAAATCGTTTCATATACAACAAGCTTGAAGCAATTTTGTTTGAAGAAATGAGAAGAATTGGTTTAGTACGGGAAATCATGAAATATACGGCAAGTTTGCTTTGAAAATTTTTAAAATGTTTACGAAATTTGTTGCTTTAACTTTTACGTAATAAAAAACATGAACTATAGACTGAAGCTCTAAGTTTCATAAATTACCGTTTAATTTGAGAAAAAATCTTAACATGTGAAGGCGAACAAATTAATTTGAAGACTGAACTGAAATTACCTAACAATTTTATTTTATTTGTGTTAAACTTTTCATGTTTTGTTAAGTAAAAATAGTTCATCGGCAGAATGTAGGTTTACTTGAATGAACATTTCAAATCATTTTACGAAGCGTTTCAAGTTAAATTTTACATTAAATCAAAGCTCACAAAATGCAAAATAATATACCTATCGTATCTATTTCGGAAATTTATTGTTGTATAGTTAAAAGTACGAATCTTTCAACTATTTTCCAGTTTTGTACAAAATAATTATGTGAAAATAAAAATTTAAGAATATCGTGTTGTCATGGCAACACTTGAGCGCGAGCCTGCGTTCAGTGCTGGTCATTTCTGAATACTTCATGTTTAATGTATGGAAATATTGGCGAGGGGTTACTGCATGCATGTATTTCTAGTTAAATTCATAATTTTGCTAATACTGTTCACTATGAAAATGTATAATATCGCAAGTGAAATGGTGCCTCACAGACGCTGCTTCATTGGAAGTCAATTTTTACTAAAAACAAGTTTAACCCAGGGCATTTTAAACATATTTTAATCACAGTAGATTCAATGCAAAAGATTTAATTACAAATGACTATCACTTATCTAGTTATCTGAAAACTATTGGGAAGGCTTTTAACACAGTATTGTATTATTTCTATACTATGCATACATATATAGACACATACTATCAACATGGAGTTTGTCTGTTGAAAAATTTAACTGGTTCGTGATGCAATCGGATCCATCTCAAGCCAATGACCGACATACAGTATGTCATCAGTTTATTTTTTTGTCTGCAAAGGCCGAATGTTTGCGGGGGGGATTATAGGAAGGGGGAGGGGATTGGAAACCTCGTACCCAAGATCTTTCTTTGGGAAAGAACCTGGCTGCGGCTGGTCACGTGCCTCATCAAAAATTTAGCGCCCTAGGGGGTGTGGGGAAAGTATCAAATTACATCAACATGCTTCCAGTGGGAGTGTTGCGATGTAACGATATTTAGCCTCGAAAAGTACTCGATTTAGTACAAAAACAGTGAAAATAAACTTTAATACGAAATTCCTACACGAGTTTACTGTTTACTTAGCGCTCTGGCGTATATTACTCTGATCTCAATAATCCACTGATTGTCTGCGCGCGTGTCCCGCGTTTTGCGTGAAAAAGTCATATCTCTTCTAAACAGGGATATTCGTTAAAAACACAAATTTTGGGAATTATTACGGTCAAAATGCTAATTTTTGTTTATTTTCTTTGCTTTGAATTTACAAGAACATTCTTACATTCTTACTTACAGTCAAGTCAAGAAACCAAGCAAATCGTTACTCACTGTGCTTGAGTCTCGTGTTGTTTAACTAAATATATTCAATGCATGCTCTCTTCACACTCGAGCGAGGTTATAACAAACGTTTATTGTAATGTTTTTAAACTACACCATTACATTCGTCCTTTCTTGTAAACGTTGATATGCTTTGCACCGATTCACTTGTTACTACGCGTCTTATTTATAAGATTTTTAAAAGAAACAGTATTGTCTAGGACTGGCCCAATATTAGCAAATGTAAACATTTGATAATTAGCCGAACAGAGAATTGTCCATAAGCATAGATGAATTTCAGTCCGGCATTGATTTATCTGGATTTAGTACATAATTCGTATTCGGTAATTATAGTAAAAGACTTTAGCCTTTTTCTTGGTCTCTATTAATCATTATATTGTGTTAACATACTATAATCTATATCACAAATTTACAGTGTCAGATACGCACAGACCGTCATTGGCGTCATACGAATAGACATAAATTTTCGAGTTTTCCAGTTCTACTAACATTTTTAAAGTTTTCATTGTGAATCACCTGTTTATCTCTAATTCATTAATCATTTGCTGCTTATACTTATTTTATAGTATCATATAGTGAATACAGGGGCGTAATGAAAGGGCAAGGGGCTAGTTCGAGAAACCATTTTTCCAAAACGTTGAAATCCGGGTAGAAAATTGGGGGGGGGGGGTTATCTCATGGTAAAAGAAGACCAGTAAGCCAGAAAAAATGGGGAGAAAACTATTGAGTTAATTTATATCTTTTGGGAAAATTTAGCACGCAAATACGTGAATTAAGTACGCGTATCGGAAATGTCTTAATTTTTTATGTGGTTGAAAAACTAGGTATTAGGCTTACATCAAGTTCCATGCTGTTTTAATTGCAAAATCAAAATGGTGGAAGTTCCTTCAGATCTGATGAATTATTCATATGATCCTTCCGCTCCATTGCCTACAGGGAAAGAATCGAGAGATCACGTAATAAGCAAAGGGCCATGCCAGCCAAAGAATATTTCTTTTCCGGAAGACAAGCGAAAACGAAAATTTTCGGCATCTTGGTACGATAAAAGTGGCTGGAATATTCAGCGGCTAAGAATAAAACATTTTGTTTCTATTGTAGAGTCTTTAATTCCCAGGTATTAAAACGTTTAGTACATTAGTGATCGTGTATTATAAGTTGTTTAGCTGAATTTGTCAATGTATGACATTAGTTTCCAAACATTCTCATTTTTTCAAATGGGGAAAAATAATCTACTCAGTTTGTCTATCAATGGCTGCATGGCTATTTATAATGTGTTTAGGTTGCATCAAGAGGTGACCCAGCCTTCATAAAGGTTGGATTTGGAAATTGGAAGAAAAGCGAAGTTTTCCCGAAGCATGAAAAATCAGTTTGCCATCGGCATTCCAGCCAAGCATATCGTCAATGGAAATATCAAAAACCAGTGGATCACCAAATTAGTGAAAAAGCGGCGAAGCAAGAATCGTATCGCCAGCAATTGGTTAGACATGCAAGAGATGTATAAATATTTGTACAAACATGTTTACCTGATATTTCAAACTTAAAGGCCTAAGATAATTGACATGTTGCACATGAATTATGTTTTAGGTGAGAACAAATAGAAGTGTCATTGGCAAAATATTTGATGTCGTTCGAAATGTTGGCAAGCAGAACTTGCCTTTCAGAGGGCGTCGTGAGGATGAGCAATCAATGAATAAGGGTGTATTTAAAGAATTTATTACTACTCATATTGCTAAAAGCGACATAGTGTTACAGAATCATTTAACTACCTCTCCTGGTAATGTAAATAAATTCCATAATTTTTGCATTTTTATACCAACTACTCCTATAACTAATGACTTTATTGACTTGATACATAAACATACATACATAATACTTTATTACTTGATGCTTGGTTAATTTGTAGACAATGCAAAATACACCTCGCCTGAAATTCAAAATCAGATGATAGCAATTCTTGGCTCTAGCATTTTGGATGAAATTATACGATGAGTTAAAGAGGCAAAGTTTTATGCAATAATTGCCGATGAAACATCGGATATGAGCCAAACTGAACAGTTGTCATTGCTTGTACGATTTGTTTGGAATGACGAAGTTGAGGAACGTTTGCTTGCGATGATGCCGATGAATGAAACAACAGCAGAAGCTCTTTTTGAGGCTGTCACCCAAAAGCTACAGCAACATGGAATAGATGTTGCTCACTTGCGTGGACAGTGTTACGACGGTGCAAACAATGTAGCAGGAGTGCACACTGGCCTGCAAGCACGAATCAAAGAGGTTTCACCTTCTGCTCTCTATACTCATTGCTATGCACATATTCTCAACCTTGTCATTGTGGACACTATGAGCAAAAACAAGATTGCCTGAGATTTCTTTGGAACGTTACACAACTTGTATGTCTTTATCCAGTCTTGCCCAAAGCGACATAGTGTTTATGTGAAGAATCAGAGGGAAATTAATGCCCATGCCGGAGGAGAGAAAAGGGAGTATACCCTTAAGAAGCTATCTGATACCAGATGGGCTTGTCGTGCAGACAGTATAGTAGGAATACACCGTACTTTAGATGCTGTAATTGCAACGCTGAAGGAGGTTAGGGAAAATGAAACAAAGGCCGACATTGCAGCTGAGGCAAAGGGACTGCTGCAAAATGTTCAAGACTTCGAATTCATTGTTGCTCTAGAGGTAATTTAAATAATTGAACTGTTATTTTTTTTAAAAAATATGCGCATAATGAAAACTGTTCTTTTTAATTTGTTCTATTTTATCGCAAGGTGCTAAAAAAGGTGCTGCATCTTAGTAAAGGGGTTTCAGACAAGCTTCAGTCCGAAGGCCTCGACGTTGTTTCAGGATGTGATAGAGTAGCTGATCTTCTTACTGCAATTAAGGCTCTTCGATGCGATGTGAAGTTTGAAGATTTCTGGCTTGCAACCCTAGAGAGATGCGCAAAATTGGGAATCGAGGAGCCAAAAGAAAAGCGTCCTCGCAAGGTTCCTCGGAGACTGGATGAGAACCCAGATACAGCCGCTCAGGTTTCAGTCAAAGACAAGTTTAAAATTTTCTTTTTCTACAATGTGAGTTTTTAACACGATTCATAATGTGACCAATGTCTTAGAGGTGGTAAATTTCACAATCTTTATTTAATTAGGTACTGGACCTGGTGAGCAACTCGATTAAAACTCGTTTTAACATGGAAAGTACAGCTGTCCTCAAAGGCCTCGGATACCTACATCCTGCTCGAATATCGCATTCACAAGCATGGGAAAGCATTTCTGTAGCGGCAAAATGGTTCCAGAATGATATTGATTTGGAGGCTTTGGAGAGTGAAATATTTTCGTTACAGCTATCATCATTGGTAACAGATGTCATTGAAAAGGTCGTATCTGAGAAACGGAATCCCAATTTTCTTGATTTGTTCAAGGCTTTACAGGCTGAACCCCAGTGTTATGCTTGTGTTAGCATATTGATGAAAATTGCTTTAACACTTCCAATCGCTTCATGTAGTGCCGAAAGAGTGTTTTCGAAGTTGAAGATAGTCAAATCGCGACTGAGATCTACTATGAATCAAAACAGGCTTGAAAACCTTATTCACATGTAGGTGGAAGTGGATTTGCTGGAGAATCTTGACTTGGGCAGCCTATAGTTCAGAAGTTTACTGATTGTGCTCCCAGAAGAATGAATTTGGTTTGGACTTCCTGGCAAAGGCCTTTTAGACGAAACATTTTATGAATTTTATATTCTTTAACGACCATTGTTTCATATTGACTTATTTACTGGTCTGGACTTTTTTAACTTACTATTAACAATAGAAGTATACAGTTTTTAAACCGTATGCCTACAGAAATTAGAAAAAGCTTGTGTTTAGCTGTTGCTGTCATGCAAAGTTGATGTAGACTTTTCTGCATATTTATTTATGTGCATATTTTATAACAGTAATGATCCCATGGAAAAAACTTGTTTTCTCAGGCAAATTATTAGTTCAATAAGTGAGTGTTAAAATTTACAATTTATCGCCCAATCACCTACATTTCCCATCCATATAAGGCAGGTAAGGATACGCGAATTACGAAATTAATAAAATAATCGTTTCCATTAACGTGATATGGATGGTCTCGTAAATTTTCTTACTTAAACCTCCAGAATGGCGGAATCCAGAATTTCAAAACCCTAGAATTTTAAATTTCCCTGGCGGGGATGTCCCCGACACCCCTTAAATGCGCTCGCCCCCCCCCCCCCAAAGTCAGGGCTCTGGCTACGCACCTGAGTGAATAATGCGTTTACATACAAGCAATCTTGGATATGATATAGACGATGCAAGCTGTCCATTAAAAAATAACGGTATTCTATTTCACAAAGCAAAAATTTAAATCTCACTTGTATAGGTTATTAAGAATGCATATAAAGCAAAAAATTAAAGCTTATTCATGTCAAAACTAAAGCTATTTACAAAATTTATGAAGGTGGTGAACACTACTAAGCAGTGCTCATTGAAAGACATGTATAATATAGTGACATATAATTTGAAATCGTTTGACTTATCTTTGGTGTATGATTTTAATACCGTATATTTTCAACAGACAGCTATACTTTGACATATATCATGATCGTTGGTTTCAGCAATGCCAAGGGCCAATTTTATAGTCTTTTGACGGGCTTTAAGTTTTTTTTTAAAAGGGCTTTATATAGATCAACAATCTGGATACAGTTGGCGATATTTCGGAAATCAAAAGATCCCGCTATTTCGTTGCAATTCCACATCTCATATCTCATCAATAAATAAATTCTTTTGGTCCGAGTATCAGGATAGACTTCAATACTAAATAAATAGCAACCACACTGTTCGGTCTATATATATATATATATACATATATATATATATATATATATATATATATATATATATATATATATATATATATATATATATATATATATATATATATATATATAAAATAAGTGAAACGACTCAACAAATTCCACTAGCCATCTTTATTACTATTAGCTTCGTACCACAAGATGTGGCACTCATCAGATAAATTAGCCTTATGGCTACAGCAAAAAACCTACAGTATTTATGTACAAGTGGCTGAAAGCTTTAAATTAATCCTATTTACAAAGCACGCAAAGCAATTATTTTGTTACTTTGCGTGCTTTGTAAATAGGATTAATTTAAAGCTTTCAGCCACTTGTACATAAATACTGTAGGTTTTTTGCTGTAGTCATAAGGCTAATTTATCTGATGAGTGCCACATCTTGTGGTACGAAACTAATAGTAATAAAGATGCCTAGTGGAATTTGTTGAGTCGTTGCACTTATTTAATTATGCTCTGGATATCCATTGAGCACTCTGCCTAATGTTTTTGTAAACAACGAAACGTAATTCTATATATATATATATATATATATATATATATATATATATATATATATATATATATATATATATATATATATATATATATATATATATATATATATATATATATATATATATACATCGTGACGTTAGCGACTGCAATTATGGAAAAGCGGCTGCAATTATGAAAAGCGGCTACAATTATGACCTAAAATATGAAGCAACCAACAACCAAGCTACAGAGAGAAGATCTAGACGCAGGAATATTACATGGTATAATCCCCCATTTAGCAAAAATGTCGCCACAAATGTAGGACGCAAGTTTAGAAATATTGTGAAAGAATCCTTCAAGAGCGGGCACCCACTGCAAAAAATATTTAATAAAAACACATTGAAAATAAGTTACTCATGCATGCCTAATTTAGAAAGAAAAATCAATACCCACAGCAAATCTATTCTCAGAGAAAACCGACAACAATCCGAAAGAATGTGTAATTGTAGATCGAAACCAGATTGCCCGCTAAAAGGAGAATGCCTAAGCAACAATGTCATTTACCAAGCCACTGTGAAAACCAACGATACAAAGGAAACATACATCGGCCTTACTGGGGATCGGTTCAAAACACGATTTAACAATCACACGTGTTCATTCCGTGACAACAACAAGAGAAACTCCACAGAGTTAAGCAAGCACATTTGGTCCCTAAAAGACAATAACATTAGATACGCTGTAGACTGGAAAATAATGGCCCGTGCAAATCCGTATTCAAATATTGGGAAAAAATGTAATTTATGTATAATGGAAAAATATTTCATTATTTGTAAACCGGAAACTTGTACTCTTAACAAAAGAAACGAACTGGCTAGTGCATGCAGGCATGCAAACAAATTTTTAATTAAAAACGGTTAGGCTTTATGGCACTATGAACGATCGGTATATAAATGGGATATTTTAGTCTAATCTGATCATGCACCTGAAGAGAGAGGATCTAGAAAGGGCCTCTCGAAACAGAACTGTAGTGCTTTTCAATTTTTAATGAACATTCTTAGGTTTTAATCTTTAATTTTAATTTTAACTTAGCTCCACTTTGGTGTAGAGCACTATATGGCAGAAGGAGAAAACCAATTTGTATATATATATATATATATATATAAGAGTTCTCTTTACGATTTTTTGTTGCAAATTTACAGTGAACTTCATCACCCAAAGTTGCAATTCTGAAACGCTTTCCTACCCCTCTCACAGTTACAATTAAATTTACCTCCCAGAATCTGGGAGGCACGTGACCAGCCGCAGCCATGGTCTCTTCCAGATGACAGAAGGAGAGACCCTGGAAACGAGGTTGGAAAATTGGTTGATGATGACGAAGAGTGGGAGGAAGTTCCCATAAAGTTACCTCCGGAAGTTTTTTCTCATGTCAGGCCCGGTTTAGACGCCGTGCTTTTAATTTCATGAGCCGAACTTAATACAATGAATTAAGCACATGAGAAGCACGGCGTCCAAATCAATTAAGCACTGCACTTAATATTAAGCACGGCTAAATTAATAAGTTCGCCTGGTTCAGGCGTGCTACACAGCTGAAGCACATGTTGATTTATGCTGCCGTGCTTTACATGAGCCGTACCAAATGCATCAATTATGATAATATAGAACATTTATAGTACGCGGGCGTTGATTGGTCGAGAAGCGTGTTTCTACACGGGAAATTTCCCGCCTAAACTTACAATCGCAAACAAAATAATTTTAATAGGCCTTATCGGCAAATTTCGCAGTAGAATTTCCCTTTCTTCCTTTATATACGTCAATTTGTAGCAAAGGATACACCTTTCGTTAGATTCCTTGCATAAAAGTTGCGAAATTAAGGCTTATAGCGATATTTTGCTGATAAAGGGAAAAGAAGCAAAGGTCGGCATTATTACGTAATGAGAATTTGTAAATATATCGAGTCTACTACAAATCTTTTTTTAGTTATATTATAAAATAAATATAAAACATTTAGTATGTGTGACCCATACGATTATAGAAACACTTGTAGTAGTTTGAGAGAACTCGAATAACGTGGAAAATCTCGCCCTAAGCCAGTGGCGTAGCCAGCTCGATAATTGGGGGGGGGGGGGCATATTCATATATTCGTGTTCTTCATTATTAGTTTCTTTTGAAATAGATTGTTTTTACGATCTGTGAATGCAAATATATGAATATGCCCATTCCCCCACTTATCGAGCTGGCTACGCCAGTGCCCTAAGCCTATAGGTCTCGTTTTCCCGCACATTATATCCAGGCATTATGCTTTGTTTGTAGTAATAAGGCTTTTCAAAAAGCATTTGAAATTTTTAATAACCGCAAACCTGTAGACGCTTAGAAATGTCAAGATTGTATGTGATAAACCTTTTTTCTTATTATGAAATCTCACTCGCCCCAGGTTTCGAAGTGAAGCAGCGCAAATTATTAAGTACGGCTCATGAAAAGCACGCCTGTCTAAATCAAAATTGGAAGTACGCCTATTTTACTCGAGTAAAATATGAATTAAGTTCGGCTGGTGAAAAGCACGGCGTCTAAACCGAGCCTCAGTCTTGTGTACAAGAGTGAAGTTATTGTTATTGGAGGCGAGAGTGGTCTTTTTGCAAGCCGGGATATTTAACTTTGACCTTGTGTTCCAAACAGAAAATTTATCAATAACGTTTCCTATGTTAGGAATAATTTCCTGGAGAATTTCCACCATGGCCAAGCCAAGCCATTTAAGAGGTCTCCAACCATAGTACTCACTTATGGTCTTTAAAGGGCCTGTTTAAATGAAAGCAGGCTGGCCTGCTTAGCGAGACAGCCCGGTAAGCAGGATGAGTTTCTAGGACAATTGCCAGGACAATTTGTTGTTTGACATTTGTTTTGACAGTTGTTAAAAATAGCTTGCGGCGGTATCTTTGAACTTTCATCCCAGCAAATGGGCTAGCGCGCTTGTGAGTGTTTATATGGAGAACATTCCATTGCAGTAAGCGAGATCTCGCCTCTTTCAGGCGAGATCTCTGCAACAGGGCCAGCCTGCCTGTGCATATAAATGCGCAATAATTCTTACTATAAAAATAACTACACTACACTATCTTTTAAATACATTTGTTGAGCTATTATCAGTCAATCAATACTCCAAGCATGCATTTCAGTGCAATTTGCTGGCCAACCGGCTAGGAATATAGTAGTCGAATAGTAATTAAAGGATTTACAGTCTTAGAAATCCTCATAAAAGCAAATAAGATTCTTATAGCAAAGTCAGAATTTTAGAACGGTTTAAGATAATATATTAACGCATAAATATGAATTTATATATCAGGATATTATGTATGCAGTTTAACCTTTGGACCTATGTAACGGATATCTGATAATGGATATAATAATGTGTAAATATGTAAATAAGATTATAGTATACAAATAATGAATGTTTATGAGTGCAATGGTAAGAATATTTTCATGAGGTGAAAGATGGAATGTTCCATTCAACGAGGCGACAGCCGAGTTGAATGGAATATTCCATCTTTCACCGAATGAAAATATTCTTACCATTGCACGAAGAAACATTCATTATTTGTTTTATATAATACCAAAATAGTTCAAATAGACTAATAGATTCGTATGAGAAGTATTTTGAGGGATGCGATTTATCGAAAACACAAAGAGTGCAATTGTACTGTACGTTTTATTCCATTGCACTCGCGGAGAGTGCAATGGAACGTGTTCCATTGCACTCTTGGGAAATGGATTTTCTATTCGATATCCCGTGACTATAAACAGCCAATTAAACGATTAGAATTTATTAAGGTATTATATAATAAGTCATAATTAGCCGCGGGTGCTCCACTAGCAAGCTGCATCCGTGATATAGTAAAAATAGCTCTCTAAATAATTAAAGGAAGGTAACACCCTAGAGATAAAGAATATAAATATGGAATCGGAAAATGAATAAAGTTAAGTTGGAAAAATCCCGCCTTAACAGAGTTTTCATGCTATTCAAATGAGCTATCAAACTAGTCCGTCTCAGATGTTGCTGCTTTTGATTTTGATCATCTACAAGTATCTGGCAAGCTACGTCAGGGTGGTCTCTTCTAGAGTTTTTCGCTACGTTCGTGTTCTTTTATTCTTTCTTTGCCCTTTTTTCCGGTTTTTAAAGCCATCGGCTGTATTATAAAAGATAAACAGCGAGAAAACATGTGGTTATCGAAACCAGGTACATATATACTCCCAAAATGCATCCCTTTTTTTCTTGGTGGTACCACAACCTGCTATGATGTTGAAACTACTCCACAATGTCTTCCTTTGTTTTCGCTCTTTTGTTTCACGTTTGATGAAAAATGCAACTCAGAATTCGTGGCTTTAATCCAAGGATCGTCTGCTTCATCACATGATCTTAGAGTAGAGGTGGAGGCTTCACTTCCACAGGCATCATCTTCTCTTTTCTGTGGTACACTCACCATTAGCATTCGTAACGACAGATTGTGTGGAAAAGGAAACTTTAGTTTAGCCACTTGCTTTAGAAACTAGCAAATGTTTCTTTCCATCGACACTTTGCTAGCGATTTGCTATCGGCATTTTATTTTCACTACAAAGAGTTTTTTTATATGATTAATTAAACATACACGTCTGACGCACTACTGTAAGTTTATGGCAAAAATACGATTGTTCTGTGAACATTCAAATCTAATTAAAAATTTTAGGCAACTAACGAACTATTTTATACATACATTTATTGATTCTAGGGTAACGAGATTTCTTTAGGGAAATTAACCAGATTAAGTTTGCGGTAACCCAAAGCTAACCCAGGTTAGATTACCGAAATTTTGGGCTGCCTGGGGATCTACAAGCTTGACGAGCGTGTTAATTGTTCGTCGATATCTTTAAGCCACGTTTACACGCTGCGATTAATCGTGTACGATTCGTTTAGTGGCCTATGCCATTGAGTAAACACGCGTAAGCTGGATACATTTGAAATTTCTTTTTAACGAATGCAATGAATTATGGCGCCAGCACTCATTTTAATACGCCAGTATACGAATCGTACACATGTACTAAACGTTGCTTTAGAAAGTGGAGGAAGGTCTAGCCTTATATTTTCTTAAGTTTGGAAATGATTTTTTGACACTAATCGACTATTTCATTCCCCGAACGAAAAGTCAAGTGTACCCTACAATCTTGTGCAAAATTGTTGAGACAACTAAGTCATTATGGGCCCCTCCCCCCCCCCCAGACAATGTTGGACAAACCATACAAAGGTTTAATGTCAGGTAAAATTTGTTTTTCAACATTGTATAAGGGGGGGGATGGAGAAGTAACCACGGAAATAGAACGAAATATCAAAAGTCTTATTATTTTTGCACGAGATTGCAGAACACGCCGTTAAAGTATTTAGTCTATCGCACTGCTAATAAAACCTGTTGACAAAACTTCTGTTAATCTCAGAAGTTGAGAGGACGTATTAATAATATTAGGATACAAATGATAGACACTTTTCATTTCACACAAAAATATTTTTATTTTATTAGATATTTTCGTAATTTCAAGTATCTAACATGCACTTTTTTCAATTTCTCTATAGCTTAATCTTTGACCTGATATATGAACAAATGCAAAATGGTTAAAAACTTAGGGAATCTATGCCTTGACGTTGTTTATGATTATGCCAAAACGATTACCAATCGTATTTCAAAGAGTGGTAGAGAACTAACAGGAGAACAAAGAGTACAGTTAATTACACTTCATCATGTTATGAAAGTTCTTAAGTTATGGGATTTACCCAATTTTATCCAACGATATAAAAATGACTATGCCATATGGAATATCCGTGTACAAGATATAAGCAACCCAGACTTTGTCACATTGACACTTCGTCTTGAGTCGCCTGCAGAATTTGAAAAATTTAAAGCATTTCTTCGACATCTTATCTCTAACTGGTTTCGCAATATTAAAGTACGAAAACTCGACAATGGTCAACTAAGTTTTGTAGTCACTCATCCAGCGCCAGCACTATTACATATCTTCCCTCAAGACCGCACAAATTTAGATGAACATTTCAAATTTTCCACTTTAAGATCATCTCATGTCGAAACGGTATCAAAAATCATCAGTCTTATGGCCAAAGAATTTTGTTTGTGTATACTGAACAAGCCTGAAAAACTGTGGGGAACCAGGACTTCAAAAAAATTTTGCGGACTATGAAAAGTAAAAAAATATGGTCACAAAAATGTTTCCACATCTATGTCTAAAAAATAGGTACGCTTGGCGTAGATGTATCTGCGCAAAGCAATCACATGGTTGCTATGAAAAAAATTTCATTCACAATTATTGAATAAACATTTATATTTCGAAGTGACTGTATAGCCGCAGCCGGCTATTTAGTGAACTGCTCGCAATGTAGTGACTTTAGTTAAAGTTGAATTTTTATAAGATAAACCGATTCCAACCCCTTCTCTAACCCTAACCTTTTCAGAGTTAGAAAGGGCGGGAAAAATTTGAAAATATTTTTGGAGGAAAACATAACTAGACCCGGGCTATATTTCACTTTCCGCACGCAGTGCCTTTACCATATAGCTAACACCATGGTTGGAAAAACTAGCGCAAACCAACGTTTTTATATTTAACTATAATCACTAGACCCTCGTCAGTTGGCTTTAACTATATTTAACTATAATCACTTAGACCCTCGTCACAGGTCTACTTAGACCCTCGTCAGTTGGCTTAGATTCAGGAAATCCTGAGATAAACCCGATGCCCTTTTTATATATTTTTATATATCTGTGAATTTTGTCTCCCACAGTTCAGGCCAGCAGTCGGACAGTACGTGGCGATCAAATTAGTACTTCACGTGGCAGCAATGTCAAAATTCCAACCAACTGATGCGGATGAGGACGGCCAATGGTTATGCAGTCATTACAAACGACGTTGTTACGTGAAATTTGAATGTTGTAACAAGTTTTGGCCATGTCATCGTTGCCATAACAACCAAAGCACGTGTGTCCGGAGAAAGCTTAAGTCACGTGACACGAAGCAGATCAAGTGTTTTGCTTGTGGTCAAGAACAACCGGTATGTGGACAATTAAGAGTTAATTTCCAACATTCGTTATTCTTATTTTTACCTTGCACTAAAAACCTATCAGCAAGAAACATATTTTAACGTAACAAACAGCTCTCTTTTGTGTTCCAGTCATTTGTACTCGTTCTCTCCTTTCCTCACCATACGATTGGAATGAAAACAACTTTGCGCTAATATTATTAGAACCCTATCCTACCCCTAATGTTTCCTTAATCCTTGCTTGACTATCTGGCCATATTTTCCTTCCTTAAACGCGGCTGAATAAAAGGGAGAACAGGGCAAAACATGAAAAACAGGGAGAACATGTGAAAGGCCAAAATTCGGTATTTCACCTAATTGGTCTGCCAGGCAAAAAAAAAAACATCTTATCGATTTTACTATTGTTATGATATATTTAGCAGTTTGTGGTGAATTCCCCTGGGGTATTTTGATTCGATAGTAAACATAAACTTCACTGTGGGCGGAGAGTGATCGGATTAAGGTATATTTGTACCATGCTCTATTTGTGAAACCTTCCCATTATTGGCCCTTCCCATACCAGCACATCGCGTACATATATGGAGACTCGGATTCAACCCTTGGTCGGACCTCTACTTAAGGTCTTTATATAACTGAGGAGAAAGAGTTACCATTACATGGACATCAGTAAATGATTTGACTTTCGCGTCTTCTCGGATAAGGACGTTAAATCGTAGGTACCTCGGATCCTCTATGAAATAGGCAATAGCTTGTTGGGAAAATCTCTCGGCAATGAATGGGAGACTCAATAAACTATATAACTGTTGTAATCCATACCCTAAACTTCATTTTATCCAGTATTTCTTGACCTTATTATAAATTTTACTCTTATATATAATTATGTATTCAATGACCTTCCTAACCCTAGTCCTTACCTTATGCAAATCTTAAATCTCGTCATTTAACCCTAATTCCTCTGAAATCATTAGTAATATGCATGGAAACCAGCCAACAATAGAGGACTTGTTAGGGTTGGTTGTATGCGTGTTTCTCATCGGATTTTCAAAACAAGGATTCTCGCTACTTGAAAACATTATGTCGCTTTCGAAATTTTGTCATTTTTTCCCCCTTTTCCATGTCACTGTCACAATTTAGACAGAGGTTGTTTCTAATGTCGCTATTTCATTTTCTATATATCGTCATGCATTTCAAGGCAATGTCGCACGTCAAAATTCATCCTAACAGGGCCTCATAACTTATTCCCCTTCCTGCCCCCCCCTCCCCCCCCCCTCCAATAGTGTCCGCCACTAATTCGAAATAATTCAGAAATGACCTGTCATAGTTTCAACTTTTGTCTCAATCAAAGCAAATGTTCTTTCAATTCTTAATTTCAGTTTGCACATCACTGTTCAAAATGTAACGCGAAATTTGCGAGATATTTTTGTGGTCAATGTAAACACCTGACAGGCACTGATGACAATCCTTACCATTGTGAAAAGTGCGGTATTTGCAGGTGAGATAGATGAAACAACTGTTGATACAACTATTGAATACCGCGCATGCTGATACAGTTAAGCCATGTAGCTCGATAGCCTAAGAACCCGCGAAGAAGATCGCTTTGATTTTCTTAACCTGGCGTTTGTTCAAAATTTTTATTTTAGAATTCACGGAGATCGTTCATTTCATTGCGATGTCTGCGGTGTGTGTTTGGACATCCAACTTCGTGGAAATCACAAATGTCGCGCTGGCTCTGCACAAGATGAATGTTGCATTTGTTTAGAGGTAGTGTACATTTGAGCTGAAATTAGGAGTAAACATATCATGTGAAGTGATATGAGAAGTGATACTGCCAAGTGGAGTTCACGTTTGAGCACAATGACAAATTTCAGAGTTGAATTTCCTTCGCTAAACTTTCATTCCTCTTCGCCGCTTCGTGTTCTCGTTCCTAAATCAATAATTTTACAGTATTGAGTTAATTTATAATACTAATTATAACCATTAGTTATAATTATTACATACATTTACTAATTAGAAGAAAAAATATACTCGAAAAATAATGCTATCTTGTAAACTTAATATATGAGTTATTTAAAGAAAGCAAGACACAAATTATGGTGATCATATTTCGACTCTATTTCAAGGTCATTGTCAAACCAAACTCATTGACTATTGTCAAACCAATGAGTTTGACATTGGCCCTGGTTGGGTTTCAAATTCATTGGTTTGACAAAGACCCTGAAATAGAGTCAAAATATTACCACCATATTTTGTGTCTTCTTTTCTTTAATTGACTCATATATTGAGTTTACAAGATGGTATTGCCATTCTGAGTAGTATTGTTCTTATTATATTTCTTTACATTTTCTGCTGGTAAATGATTTTACTAATTCAAATACCGAATTTTTCTTTAGTTTTTCTAACTTGGCGTACACGCCTTTGTCTCGAAATGTCCAGAAGCCGTTTTTCTCTTTCAGATTGTGATTGTCATAAAATCCAACCAAAGCTTTCTTTTGTATGTCACGGTCAATGGCACACCTCCAAAGGTGTAGAGTAACTCTTACATTTTATTTCTTTTCCAGGATGCATTCACAGGATGTCAGATCTTACCTTGTTCTCACAAGGTACATAAGGAGTGCGCGACGCAAATGATTAGAAGTGGCATGTGAGTATAATAGATGTATTTATAACAATGTTTGAATGAGGTTGATTAGGATATGAAGAATTATCTAGCTCGAAGTTTGTGTTATCAACCAAAGCCGAAGGCTGAGGTTGATAACACAAACTGAGCGGATGACAAATAATTCTTCATATCTTGCAAAAACCGAATTCAATTATTGTTTTGTTATTTATTTAAAAGATGAAAAAGATATCCGCACCTGTGTCTGAGTTCAATTCGTCGAATTAATGACCAGTTCATTTTCTCATTTGCAGGAAATATTTCTAGTTTTCTTTCTTAAGATGTTTCAAACATTTTGTGGCTGTTTTTTATAGAAATTCGTCTATAAATATGTCTTCTTTAAATCTTCACGGTTTCCACATTTCGTATTCGTATTCCCACATTTCGTATTCGCATTTCCACAGCATGACATCATAACGTTGAATATGATTTTGTCATATTCAAGTTTATGATTTATGACGTCACTCTATTGAGTTGATATGACGATATCGCTTGGTTGTTAGCCACTCAGAGGCGATAAATCTTTTAAATGTATCATAATAATTATTATTTGAGTTTATTACGTGCACATAAAACGTGACATGCATATTCATGCAAATTTTTCCAATTCCTGAAGCATTATTTATCTTAACATTGTAGAACACGTTGTCCAATATGTCGGGAAAGTTTTGAACATAAATTGGAAAGAAGACCTCATCCTTCAAAGAAACCACCTGGAAAACAGTGACTATAAGGTCATTAAGGCGTATGGGAGTATTATTAATAGTGATTGTGATATATAGTGATAGTGACTTTAATGAATTCATAGTTTGCAGTTTAGAGGAGAACTGTGCACTGAATTATCTACGAAAATTTACATGAATTGTATAATTAGTCTAAAATAGATTACCTATTAATTAATAAGTTAAAGTTTGATAAAAAATAGCCTTCTAAATATGTAGTCTACTATATGAATTAATATAACTGCATTATTCAATGCAGCAATAAGGTATTTGGCGGGTTATTGGGTAGTTTAGTAATTGGTAGATACCAAGTGAGTGCAATATTTGATTCAGTAATTAGTTTTGTTTTCTTGCGACGAAACAAAAATCAACATTCAACAACATTCATACAACAATTATATTTCATGACAGAAACTGTATAGTGTAAACGACTTTAAAATTAAAAGAACCTATGTACTAGCTTAAGCAGCTTCATCAGCATATCATGTTGCCTGTTATGCATTTTCTTCGCTTTCACATTCTTTGTTTTAACACAAGCTTGGAAAATCGCAGGTACGCAGATGGACGGGGCGGGCAAAAATTTTTCACATGTTGCCCGGCGGGATGCATTATTGCATTTATCTAAAGCCACGTGATCACAAATCAGCCAATCACGTTTGATGTCCATTCTAGCTATCTAACTAACAACATAAATTAATAGAAGAACCAAGTACGAAAAGTTTCCTCGCGTCATTTTTGCGAGCCGCTCCAAAAAACATGCACCATTTTTTTTCAATTCTTATACAGCGACTGAGTTCGAGCCTGTGTACAGTTGTAAATCCGTTTCTCTGAAATGATAAATCATAACTGCAATTTGTGGATAAAAAGTATATCATGAATATGGATGACTTTTGTGACTAAAAAATATGTAAAGTATTAGTGGTAAAACTAGCCGTAGCAACGTACGATTATGCTATGCAAATTTTTAATAATTTGTAGCAGTGAAACTTTAGAAATTTATTGTCTGTAATTTAGATGCAGGTTTATTAGCATAGTACTAGAAATACATGCATGCAGCAACCCCTCGCCTGTATTTTCCAAACATTGATTTTATTATATTTTTTGAACAACACGGCAAAAATAGTTGTAAGATTATTGCTTTTAACTATATAACAATGAATGTCCGAAATATACGCTGTAGGTATGTTGTTCTGCATTTTGTGAGCTTTGATTTAATGTAAAATTTAACCTGAATCGCTTCGTAAAATGTTTTGAAATGTTCATTTTAATATAAACTTTAAACTGCTTTTTCCGATAAACTGTTTCAGTATTTAATAAAACAAAATAATTTCAAATTGTTGAGTAATTTCAGTTAGGTTTTCATATAATTTGCTCTCCTTTACATTTTACCTTTTTTTCTTAAATTAAACAAGGTAATTTAGCAAGGAAAGCAGTGCATGAGCTCACGAGTGGAAGGAATACATTCGTTCGTTCGTTTATTATTATCAGGTATATATCTAGAAAAGGGTATGTATATCGCTGGAAACTCAGTGAGCGTTTTATGTTGTTAGTGCATGTTTTTATACGCAATAAATTAAAGCTACAAAATTCATATACATTAAACATTCAAAGCAAACTTGCCCTATATTTTACGATTTCCCACAGTAAATCAATTCTTCTCATTTCTTCAAACAAAAATTGCTTCAAAGCTCATTGTGTGAAACGTGATTTTCCAAATACATGCTTTTGAAAATTGAAATCTTGCTTATCCCACTTCTGGCAAACAGCCATATTTTTGAGATCAGTGAGCATGACCACCCGCCGTTGCCCGTTGGTCACCCATGCCCGCGATCATTGATGAACTTTGGACTTCGCTAATGCTTCCCTTTCCCCGGCCGGTAAATAGCCCGGCGGAATTAATACCCTCGCCCCGGGCTAACGCCCGGAACGGAACAGCTGCAAAAATTGACTGAGCATGCGCGAAAACTGCTCGGGTTTTAGCGGGAGATGAAGATATACGTGCTTCCACTTGGTTGATTTAAAAAAACATAAACGACATGAACGAAGCCTTCGAAGGACAATTTTGCAGCGGCTGTTTAGGCCCACAAATCACCACAAGAATTGGATTCACTGACAGAAAATGTTGCAGTAATACTTTAATTTCCTCTATTGCCACATATTTTACAATGCAAACTATTAATATCGATTATTTCAGTGCAAAACAAAACAGAGAAAAAATTTCCTTTTAAATTAAATATCGTCTGATAGCTTCAATAAAATGTGATATTCAAACCAAAAATACTAATACTTCTTCATTTTTTACAAAGCCAAGAGATTTAATACCGACTTAAAAATGCTTTGAAATTTAATGCAAAACAGCGATATTTCGTTGGCACAACCTGTACCATGACAAAATTTGTGTTTATAGAATTTTGAACGAGCTAAAATTGTGTTTAAAAATAACAAAAAGTTTACGCTTCGAAATGAAGGTCATAGAAAAATCTGATTGCTATGTGTATCTGTTTTTTAAATACTTTGAAAACCTAAAAATAGTATTTTAAAACTATTATAGCACAATAGATGGCAAAATGATTATTACAATGCCAATGGCAATGCTCATTTTCTGAGACTGAGTCGCCTTTTTCGTATAAATCACACTTGCACATGAAATTTGCCAAAATTCAGTACTTTCTTCATTTTTTAGGCGAGTTAATTTATACATTCTATTAGCAAAAACTAGAAAAAAAAGCACATGTTCTGACCCAATCACATTTCATTGGCACAACCTGTATATATGAGAAAATAAAGGTGAAAAACAAGCAATTTTAGCAAAATACCTCACATACTGAAATTTGACGATGATCGTTAGCGTACAGTATCACTCAAAAACATAATATTTATACTTTGTCCTGGACAACAAACGTATGTAGCCTACTACAAATTTCAACTAATATTCCATCAATATTGAGTTCCTGCTCGAGATTTTTTGCCATCAAAAACACACATTTTGCAAGAAACGTCATTTTCGGCCATGTTTCAGCGAAGAATTCTTGACTGCTAATTTCCCGATTGCGACAAGTAATTGTGGTCTTCATTAACGTTTATTATTAAAGTTTACGTCTGCTAGCTTTCTTTTACTTTTCCTCTGTTGCAGTACGAGAAACAGGATAGCGAAATCTGTGTTTTTGAAAACAATTAAACATTGAAAACATAACTGTTTGCAAGCTAAGAAAACAATAATGAACAGGTAGGCCTATATACTTCCGAAATTCGTGTTTCCTTGTGACTTCCTCCACTTAGTAAAATATGCAATTCTTTAGAGGCGACGCTAAATGAAATTCTTTTGTTTAATTGCCTTCCATGTGCATTGAATTGTGACATGATGAAAGTTAGCTATAATTATAGAAAACTCAAGATGAACAAGTTTAACAACAATTTTTTTAAGCTGGCAATTTAAATCAGTTCTCATGGTCTGACCACTCGAAATAACAAGGCAGGGTCTACTTCTGAGGTCGTATTAGGAGGACCTGGGACTGGGTTATTCCAAACTTTCAGTTGCATCTTTCCAGCTCCATCACTGCTCAGAAACAGGTCGTCATCGCCCACCTTTTTATTGGATCGAAGTACATAGTATGGTCTATTTGGTGACCATAATTCCATCACTTCAAACGATGTATCGGTAATCTGTAAACCAATGTAAAAGGAAATTCATTACATATAGTCAAAAAGACTAAAAAGTCATGACGGCTTAAGGCATAGGAGGCCCAAAAATTAGTGGTAATAGGCATAATAATGACTAAAATAGTTTAAAATTCAATAAAATTTTATTGTGTTACCGTGAAAATGTTCTATCAACTGTTTTTTGTAGCCATAGGTGTGAATTTAAACCATGCTATGCTCAATCTCTGATTTGCAGTCGCATAGTGACGTGTAAACTATCTTTATAATAGGGAAGGAAGGCAACTCTTTTGCCCATATATACACATACATGCTCATTTCACAACCAAAATATTATGTCAAAACAACATGAAAACGTCAAAAAAATGATAGCCGAGAAAACTTTGATACTCGATCAACATTACTGTGAAAAAACTATTTTAAAAAACAAATACGAAAGTACAGTAGAAAAAATGTGCAAAACTTTTGCTAATTTGTCGATAAATTTCGTGGCACGATGCTGGAGGCAAAATGCGATTCTATGGCGAATCTGAGTGGTTGAAAAAGTAAACAAACTCACTTGAACTTTCAATAATCCGGGGGGATGTTCAAAGTCTGATATTTTCTTTGAAGAGGCACGAAAAGGTCGAAAAAAACATCAATATTTGGAAATTGAAGATAAATTTATATAATATAACTTAGCGAAACTGACAGTTTTCCAAGACAGTTTTCTAAAGTAGTTTCATTATATTTTTATGCTTTTTTCGTCTAGTTTCGAACGTTCATGCTTCTGTTCTGGTAATTTTGTGTTTTACTTACTCCCCCCCCCCTGATTATTGAAAGCTCAAGCAAGTTTGTTTATTTTTCCGACCAATCAGATTCGCCATACGAATCGCATTTTGCCTCCACTATCGTGGCACGAGATTTATTGGCGAATTAGCAAAAGTTTTGTACGTATTTTCTACTTTTGTATTTGTATTTTAAAATAATTTTTTCATAGTAATGTCGTTTGAGTATCAAAGTTGTCTCGCCTATAATATGTTTCAGGTTTTCATGTTGTTTTGTCATAATATTTTGGTTGTGAAATGAGCATGTATGTGTGTATGGGCAAAAGAGTTGCCTTCCTTTCCTATTATATGGACTTATACGTCACTAAACGCGACTTAAATTCACACTTAGGGCTACAAAAACAGTTGGTAGAATATTTGCACGGTAACACAATGAAATTTTATTGAATTTTAAACTATTTTAGTCATTGTTATGCCTATTAACACTAATTATTAGGCCTCCTATGCTCTTAGGCTTTAGAAATCACAGGCTTGCGGATAGTAATTTATTGTCTGTTCTCTGTACCACTCTAGGCTCATTG